GAGCATGCTTTCAAATAAATATGATGAATTATAGCTTTGTCATTCTTGAGAAGAAGATTTTTAAAGAATTTTCCTATATTTTTCTATGTAAAACTTTGGTCAGCCATTTTGGCCCCACCCTTCCCCCAGGGGTCATGATTTGAACAAATTTGAATCTACACTACCTGAGCATGCTTCCATATAAATATGATGAATTATGGCTTTGTCATTCTTGAGAAGAAGATTTTTAAAGAATTTTCCTATATTTTTCTATGTAAAACTTTGGTCGGCCATTTTGGCCCCGCCCTTCCCCCAGGGGTCATGATTTGAACAAATTTGAATCTACACTACCTGAGCATGCTTCCATATAAATATGATGAATTATGGCTTTGTCATTCTTGAGAAGAAGATTTTTAAAGAATTTTCCTATATATTTCTATGTAAAACTTTGGTCGGCCATTTTGGCCCCGCCCTTCCCCCAGGGGTCATGATTTGAACAAATTTGAATCTACACTACCTGAGCATGCTTCCATATATATATGATGAATTATAGCTTTGTCATTCTTGAGAAGAAAATTTTTAAAGAATTTTCCTATATATTTCTATGTAAAACTTTGGTCGGCCATTTTGGCCCCTCCCTACCCCCGGGGGTCATGTTTTGAACAAACTTGAATCTACACTACCTGAGCATGCTTTCATATAAATATGATGAATTATAGCTTTGTCATTCTTGAGAAGAAGATTTTTAAAGAATTTTCCTATATTTTTCTATGTAAAACTTTGGTCGGCCATTTTGGCCCCTCCCTACCCCCGGGGGTCATGATTTGAACAAACTTGAATCTACACTACCTGAGCATGCTTTCATATAAATATGATGAATTATAGCTTTGTCATTCTTGAGAAGAAGATTTTTAAAGAATTTTCCTATATTTTTCTATGTAAAACTTTGGTCGGCCATTTTGGCCCCGCCCTTCCCCCAGGGGTCATGATTTGAAAAATTTGAATCTACACTACCTGAGCATGCTTTCATATAAATATGATGAATTATGGCTTTGTCATTCTTGAGAAGAAGATTTTTAAAGAATTTTCCTATATATTTCTATGTAAAACTTTGGTCGGCCATTTTGGCCCCGCCCTACCCCCGGGGGTCATGATTTGAACAAACTTGAATCTACACTACGTGAGTATGCTTTCATATAAATATGATGAATTATAGCTTTGTCATTCTTGAGAAGAAGATTTTTAAAGAATTTTCCTATATTTTTCTATGTAAAACTTTGGTCGGCCATTTTGGCCCCTCCCTACCCCCGGGGGTCATGATTTGAACAAACTTGAATCTACACTACCTGAGCATGCTTTCATATAAATATGATGAATTATAGCTTTGTCATTCTTGAGAAGATTTTTAAAGAATTTTCCTATATTTTTCTATGTAAAACTTTGGTCGGCCATTTTGGCCCCGCCCTTCCCCCAGGGGTCATGATTTGAACAAATTTGAATCTACACTACCTGAGCATGCTTCCATATATATATGATGAATTATGGCTTTCTCATTCTTGAGAAGAAGATTTTTAAAGAATTTTCCTATATATTTCTATGTAAAACTTTGGTCGGCCATTTTGGCCCCGCCCTACCCCCGGGGGTCATGATTTGAACAAACTTGAATCTACACTACGTGAGTATGCTTTCATATAAATATGATGAATTATAGCTTTGTCATTCTTGAGAAGAAGATTTTTAAAGAATTTTCCTATATTTTTCTATGTAAAACTTTGGTCGGCCATTTTGGCCCCACCCTTCCCCCAGGGGTCATGATTTGAACAAATTTGAATCTACACTACCTGAGCATGCTTCCATATAAATATGATGAATTATGGCTTTGTCATTCTTGAGAAGAAGATTTTTAAAGAATTTTCCTATATATTTCTATGTAAAACTTTGGTCGGCCATTTTGGCCCCGCCCTTCCCCCAGGGGTCATGATTTGAACAAACTTGAATCTACACTACCTGAGCATGCTTCCATATAAATATGATGAATTATGGCTTTGTCATTCTTGAGAAGAAGATTTTTAAAGAATTTTCCTATATATTTCTATGTAAAACTTTGGTCGGCCATTTTGGCCCCGCCCTTCCCCCGGGGGTCATGATTTGAACAAAGTTGAATCTACACTACCTGAGCATGCTTCCATATATATATGATGAATTATAGCTTTGTCATTCTTGAGAAGAAAATTTTTAAAGAATTTTCCTATATATTTCTATGTAAAACTTTGGTCGGCCATTTTGGCCCCGCCCTACCCCCGGGGGTCATGTTTTGAACAAACTTGAATCTACACTACCTGAGCATGCTTTCATATAAATATGATGAATTATAGCTTTGTCATTCTTGAGAAGAAGATTTTTAAAGAATTTTCCTTTACATTTCTATGTAAAACTTTGGTCGGCCATTTTGGCCCCACCCTACCCCCGGGGGTCATGATTTGAATAAATTTAAATCTACACTACCTGAGGATGTTTCCCC